ACCCCCGAACACCAGTGATTTTATTTATGGTTTAATGTGGCACACACGGGTAAACCCAATCCAATGTGTTGCGGGCGCGCCACCGGAGCCCTAGTCACGTCACTTCTTCGGTCGAAAATATATGGTGGGGTTCCATAGATACCCCCTGGTACTCGCTGGATGGTTGGAAAATCCCGAAAAAACATCTGGTTGGTGGTTGACCTACCCCTCTGAAAAATATGAGTCAGTTGGGATGATGACATTCCCAACTGAATGGAAAAATCATCCAGTCATCTTCCAAAGCACCAACCAGAAATGGATGACTGAGGGGTATTCCATGGTATTCCCATTTTATAAGCTCCAAGCCATATGCCATCCTCTGCCACTGAATTCTGGCCGCGGAAGATGTGGTTCTGGAAACTCCAACAAGGCAATGGCGAGGCTCTGGAAATCTAAAAAACGCCCTCAGTATATCCAGAAGAGAAACACACGTTTGCCATTGAACATTACCTTACTTATTATCTTATTGGCCTATCAAAGGGAAAAAAACAGACCAAAAACTTTCTGGATTAGCGATTCAAATGGGAATTCAAGGATGTACAAATGACATCAAAATGTTCGGCGGAACCTCATTTCATCCTCTCGGTTTCCCAGACCACCGGGCTTTTTTTGGGCCTATCACAGGCCTTTTCGCATGCAAAACTATACAACTGGATTGGGCAGTGCGGCTCACTGCGGGCTGATTTTCAGAACTGGGGCTAGGCCTGGAAGCAACCAGGGGAGCCAACACACCTGCTGGAGTTCAATAGATCCTCCTAATCAAAATTCCATTCAATGGACACCAGAAATGAAGACATTGCATTCCACCAGATTGATTTGTAGGGGGGCTATTTCAGATGGCATTTCATATGGAAAATTGTATTGTCTGAATCCAATCACCTTGAGTTCGGGATGACAGCATCACCCATGTGGCAGCGATCACCGGCAACAGCACTGACATGTGGCAGCTGCGGCACATCCCAAAATTCGCTGCAATTTTCTTTGGTGAACATCAAAAGCTGTTCTTGGTCGGAAAAAATGGGTATGCCATGGTACGCCCAAATTTCCAATGGGTTTAATTATCATACTTTTCCCCATTTAGTTTTGATCATATGAGGGTATACCGATGTAGAAAACCCATTGTCAAAGAAACCCTATCCCGACCTATCCCGATACGCTTTCGGGAAGAACTGACGCAACAAACACGTTCGGCCGACACTGCGGTGCCAACAAGTTGAAGGACGCCCTGGGTCAACCTGAAGTTGAATCCAACCAGGCAACCCCGGCCTTCAGGGCAGGGCAAGGCAGCATGCACTACCTTGTGCCAAAGCTCATTTGGAAAGCCCAGTTGCAGACCTGGAGGTCTGGAGCTCAAACAAATCATAATCACAACGCCTGGCAATCATGGCCAATATTTTTGAGGATTGACAATACCAAAATATAAGTTAACTAAATTACATGCCTGAAGTGTTTCGATCACGAAACTGCACAGGTATCTTGACTTTTGAACAGATTCGTTCTGTAAAGAGGGAAATGAAACATGATGAAACATGATGAACCATGATTACAACACATTACAAAACATTAAAACACACCACATTGAACATAACAAAAAAACGTTTGAAGCGAATGCCGGGCTTTGAAACATAAACACATATTATATGCATATATATATATTAATATATAGTATGCCTGTGTTATTGTAATATATTAATGGCCCGCTGACCATCCTTTGCATTTTCACGTGCTCAACGCCTACACTTTGCTTGAGCCAGTAGCCAATAGCCATAACTCCCCATGATATCCATATGATGGTGTCGAAACTTCTAAACTCCAGACGGCAGTTGAAAACTCTCATTTTGGTTGCTTAATTCTTCATTATTGTTTCTGAAACTCTTACTTTATTCACTGAATCGATAATTTTCGTTTCTGAAGATTTTACATACTTGGCTTGGTTAATTCTTCAGCGCGCTGTAACTGCCAGTTCAACGGTTAACCGTTCCCTCCTTATTCAGCCATTTGGCGCTCCCTTTTGCTTGCCGAAACCATGAAATCTACTACTTCAATATCTTTGCCCTTCAACTCCAACGATTTTTGCTATCTGTCCGGACTCTGTCCGGACTCAAAAAAAAAACAAATTCTCCAAGTCCGAGATTTTCATCGCCCAACAAAATGCTCTTGTTCTTCCCCATGTCTCAGGACATTTTTACCCACCCGGCACCGTGGCCTACGCCGCGCATGTTGCGCGCCGCCTGCGCGCTGCGTCGCCGCAGCGCGGCCTTGGCGGCGCTGACGTCCGGGGCGCTGGCGTCGAGGCCCAGCTGACGCTGGAGGTGGAGAAAGTGCAGACCTTGGCGAAGTCAACGGATGCGTTGCGCATATGGAAGGATAATAACATGGATATGTTAACCATTTCATAAAGATTATGATTAACTTATTTAGTTAACTATAGACTATATAGTTAATATGGATATAGTTGACCTAAATAAATAATGGAGGATAATCATTGGAAGTTAATCCCCATACTTAGGAAACCTGGATAGTTATTGTGACTGATGAACATATTGTGGATGATTGAGGGTAAACTATGATGAATAGTAGGTGGATAGAAACTATCTATCAATAGTTATTGGATCGTCATTTTGTTAACTATAGTTACTATAGTTAATATGGAATGTTAATGATGAATAATTCATTTAATGGAAGCTTAATGATGATACCAGTAGGCCAATCATGATAGGTTAACATATGGAATAATAATTATTGGATAGGTCAATGATGACAGGTTGACTGATGATAGGTTAGTGAATGGAAGGTTGTCTATTGGATAGTCATTTAGTTAACTATAGTTAATGATGAATAATCCATTTAGAAGAGTTAATTTTTGGTTAATCATAAATGAATGCAAAGCTCCAAATAGCTAATTATTGATTGGAAGGTTAATGACGATGGGTTATGGACCTATTATGATAGTTTATAGCAAATAGATGTCTTATTGATAAGTTGATATTTATAATGGCAGGTCGTATGATTGTGATGTTATCTATACACAATATTATATATAAACCTATCATTGTTAGGTTCATGATAATTGCAAATAGACTAGTGCGGTTGATATTATAACATGTAGCTACAACACACACATATATATATAATTAGATAGTCAAGTAGATAGGATTACAGATTCTATCAGAATAGAAGGTGGGATGTTTGTGATGTAATCTATATGTATATGTTTGTTAGATCAATGAATTGCACTTAACATAGTTGTTGAACTCATGTTGTAAACATCAAGTTTTGACAAGTCAACCTATAAGTACACAAACTAGTGATAATAGATATCACCGAAGATTATAACAGTGATATAATCAAATAATGACAGTAGTTATACACATAATTGCTTATCTGGTTAGAATAGCTAATGAGCTCATTATATATATAAGTGTTGACATATGTTAACTATTGGTAAGTATAAGAGATCCTACTGTTGTAGTTCAATAGATAACCGATTCATTAACCATAGACTATAGAATCTATCATTGTTGTGATACTTCGCAAACAAGTTCTCCAAGTCATAGTTGGAGATGCTCAATCCCCTTTTCCCAACTCTATAGGAGTGACGAAATCCTCATATTCCTCTAAGATAGCTATTCAAAAATGAGTGTGTCTAATATATATATATATTTCTCACCATGTTTGTTCTTAAATACTCAAATGATGTTAGTTCCTCCATCTAAATTCCATCTGGGAAAAAAACGTTGCTCAATGGCAACTTTAACATTCTATTGAAAAAAAAACATGGGAAATATCTTAGAAAACTGGTCAGTTTCAAAATGGCAACATTGAACTTTCGAAAACGTCACCCGCGCAAGCGGAACCCGCGGAACCCCCTTGGGGCTCCTTGGCTGGATATCCTGGGCCTCCGCACTGGCCGTATGCAGGTCGTCCTGGACATTTTTTTTGGGGGGAGCACCAGAAAAAACTTACCCGGCCTGGTAAACATACAAAAAACTATGGAAAGATCCACCATTTTTAATGGGAAAACTCACTATTTCTATGGTGATTTTCAATAGCTATGTTAGTCATTACCAGAGGGTACTTGGGAACCCAAAAAAAAATCCCCTATTGGAATGATCATGAAAACCATGAAAACCATCATTAATAGCAAAAACTTATATACTATAGTACAATGATGATTGGAGTACTGATGCTTAGTAACCATCATGAAAATCATGCAAACCATCATGAACCAATTGATGAAACTTACTTGGGATGATTCGACATTCCCAAGATGATGGGAAAGTCATAAGCCATGTTCCAGTCACCACCAAGCAGAAATGGATTGTCTGATTGAAATGAAACAAAGATCTGTTGCTTGGAAAAATTGGATGAAAAATCCACAGAATTCGATGTGAAAAGTTAGGGCCTTCTTGGGATCTCCAAAACATACCCGGCCTGGTAAACGTTTACATAGCTATGGATAATCACCATTTTGAATGGGAAAACTCACTATAAATGGCAATGTTCAATAGCTATGTTAGTTTACCAGAGGGTAATGTTGGAAAATGATTGGTCCACGCTTGTTCCCCTCACCAAAAAATAGTTTCCAGCTTTGCAACTGTTCTATCTGTCTCTTCTGTCCTTGCCACAGATACTACACTTCGCAAACCACATTTGCTCAGGATCTTGGGACCGGTTCGACCATTTTCCCAAGCGAAAGGAATAGGACCATAGGACCTTTCTGAATCACCAAAGGTGACCCACAACAAACCATTACTGATCATTACTGTATTTCTTTACTGCACATGCGTTTCTTTGCTGCTTTTTCTGATTGCTATGAAGAAAAATGCCGAAAAACATGGGTTTGTCTGAACATAGAATACCTCCAAACCAATCCGATCGGTTAATCATCATGTATCGCACAATCGGATATTGAAAATGCAACTTAAATTCAAGGGGATTAGTCCCGGATGTGGGGACCCGTACAATCCCATGTCATAGCTACCTGGTTATAAATATTGCATTTTATCCCGCTTATGATGTTTGGTTTTGTATTGGTTCTACCCTTATTTTTGGCTGCACAATCCCTTGTTTTTTTGAGCCAAACCCATCTTGGTTTAAGTCGTACAGTACATCCCCACAATATCCCGACAACAAAAAACGCTCTTAAATCTTGCTTTGGTTTCATCTCCATATTTGTTCGTCATGGTTGTAAATTTCTATCTTGTGAAATCCCATCTATGATTGCAAATCCCATCAACAAAACATGTTAGTTGTAAATATATTATAAATCTATCCCCTTAATATTCAACACCTCCCTTTCATGGTCCGAAATATCTGATTTCTTCCCCTACTACACCATGGTTTCGGAGGGGTGTTTATTTTTGTTGGACCGGGATCATATCCCCATTGGATCCATCTTTAAGTCGGCACCAGCCACCGAGTTCAACCGACCTCGGCGGCTTCTGTACGCTTGGCGCGCACGTGTCGACCGCGCTCGCGCTCCCTGCGATAAAGGCGATGGTTGCAAACTTGGTGGCATATGGTGTCATCCTAACTATATCCGAACTATCATGTGGTTGGGAAACACTTAGTAATTAGCTCCTCGGTTCCCCATTTAAGACGGAATAAAACTACACATAGATCATCGATCCTTAGTTCCCCCGGGTGCCACTGAAGAGCTAATAATGATCAAATCTATAGATTACAAATACATAGCACTTAGCACCATCATGAGTCATGAGTCCTACTTACTAGTAGCAAGCTCATGAATCAAAGTTGCTACTCTATTCTGATATTAACTCATGGTACAACTCATGATGGCCATGTATTTCAGGGACCTAACTTGGAGATACCTACCCTCTGGTAAACTAACGTAACTATGGAAAATCACAATTTTTAATGGGAAAATCCACTATAAATTGCCATTTTCAATAGCTATGTCAGTTTACCAGAGGGTACATATACCTACCATTTTTTTGAGACCTGATATGGTACCATAACCTCCGTTTTAGGGCCCAACAAACAATTCCCATGGTCGTCCCTATGTCAGTCATCTTCGCCAACTCGTGGCATGATATAGAACTGATATGCCAGGGGTATCATATACTGGTTGGTGGTTTCAACCACTCTGAAAAATATTATTCAGTTGGGATGAGTCTTGCCAATATATGGAAAAATAAAAGCCATGTTCCAAACCACCACTTTGTACCGCTTTGTATGGCGCACTGGCTTGGGTTGGGAAGACAGTGCTTTAACTGTGGTGACGCTTAGGTCAGTGTGGCAACGCGGCCAAGGGGACGGGCAGCCGGGCAAGCCCGGGACTGCCGTCTGAATGGAGTGAAACTGAACTTAACCGGACCAGGAGAAGATGTCTCTCCAAGCCAACGAACATTGAAAAGGAGCAACAGCGTAACCACCCAAGACCTGACACAGTGGCCGGCCCCGGCGAAAACTGCAGTTGACACAAACCCCAAAAACTGGTAGAAGGGCATCAGAGCAGCAAGAACCCACACGGCACAACAAGACCCCATCATCATCATACCACTGTGTGAACCATGCAGTTCAGGCCCACCCCCACATTCACCATCATCTCTCAGTCGCTTCCGCAACAAGCCACATATATGAGAAAGCTGATTCTCAAACAGAGCCTGGATGCACTGATACTGGGTCTTACTTTGGCCGTAAAAGTGTTGAGGCGGGGCCTGCATCAGGGCCTGTGGATTCGAAACTTGTTGAGACTGAAGGTGGGTGAACTCCAGAAACTGCCTGTCAATCTGTGTTTGGTTCTGCATCAACGGTTGCACTTGACCAATAGCAGAGAGCTCAAGGTTGATGTTCTCCTTCACAACTCCAGACCAGTCAACAAACCTATCAAGGTGTTGCGAGATGAACGGATCTCTGCATGCAGGGACAGCGCATGAAAGTACCAAACCATGAACACGCTGAGACAGTGCAGCTCTAAGGTTGTTAGGAAGGGACATAGCACAAGGGTCCGCCCCTCCTTTCCGATCACCCAACTGGGAAAACAGCTGACATGAAAATCCCGCACTCTTCACCGCAGCATGATTACACGTGGACCACACTCCAGCGATCACCTGGGGACAGCCAGCATCACCGATCACATACTCACATCCTCCAGGAGCCTTGTGTAAGGTCACCATAGGGGCACTAGAGTCAACAGCAACCATGGTTTGCACACCAACGGCATGGGCCCCATGTGCAGGACCATCAAACCCGTAGCAAGCATCGACCAGTTTGAGGAAGTCCTCCCAGGTATGCAGTGAGTGAACCAACACCTTAGCACCATCATCCACCTTCAGCAACGGAATAGAGACTTGCTGCACCAGGACAAAATCCAACCGAGTGAGCACTTCAGGAGCTCCATCCAAGAGGCCAGTACGCACCAGACCAGTCCCATCACGGACAGAGGACCAAGTGGCGCACATGCACAGGATCAACGACCACCATGACCACATCAGAGAGCTACCTCCAGCATCAACTTCAGCAAGATCCATGACGATCCATGGCACAACACGGTGAACGAAACGCTCTACGATCAGCAGGGCACGGCCGCACCTGCTGGTAGGTGTAGAGCCCACGGCTGTTCCAAACCACCAACCAGATATAGTACTTGTCATTGCCTTTGGTGTCAGGGAACAAGAGTTTCACCAAAGACGGGCGGGGTTTGTGGAAACATTCCCTGTAAACCAATTTTATCCAATTTTCAGAATACAACAGCGTTGATGTTGTTACTGATTACGAAGTACTGCATATTGGCGCTAAGCTGTACTAAGCATGTCATGGTGATAATGGTCACTAGGCAATGGATGGCAATGGTATCTATTGTCATGTTGTTGAGAGTGATTCACACATATTCACACTATCTATAATGGTTTAGCATTTAGATTACTGCGGCTAAAACGATAATAAACCATCCCCCAAATCACCATAAATAGGTGGTATAAACCATTCCCAAATGGATGCTTCATTATTGTTTTACCCACATGGGTATGGATCAATACCTATTAATACCATTTTTAGGGGGATGAACAACCATAAATCCCAGCTATTTTGATGTGAACTACAGGGGTACAAGGTTTTGACACACTGCCACATTACTGTGCATGCTTATGATTACTATGGTGATCATCGAAGGTAACATAATTATGATCCATAAAGTCCGGGACCAAAGGAGAAATGGATTTGATTTACTTCGTCCAACACTTGCAGAGATTGCCGCTTATAAATGATGATGCTGAAATATCATTAGTATTGCAAGAATGATTATTCATTATAATTATATTATTATTTTATTATTATTATTATGAATATTGTGATGAAGCTGATGATGATGATGATGATGGTGGTGGTGGTGGTGGATGATGATGTCGACTTTGTCGGTAGAGGTAGAGGTAGTGGTAGCTCTGGTTTTGTTGCCAGTGGTGATGTCTCGCAGACTTGCCGTTGAAGTTGGTTGAAGTTGGTTGAAGTTGGCCCAAAAAAAACATACCATCTGGTCATTTAACATAGCCATGGAAAATCACCATTTTTAATAGGTAAACCATCTATAAATGGGCAATTTTCCATGGCTATGTTAAATAACCAGAGGGTAACAACAAACAACTCAATGATAAACCCCAAAGAAACCCAACTAGCAGTTGTTCATTTCAAGCAACTCTAATTTCTAGCTCCTAAACAGTCCAAAACCCAGTCATAGGGATGGAACCAGCCCAAACAACGAGCCAGGGGCCTGCGGATGTCCTCGCACTTCTGGATGGCCGTTGACAAGTCTTTCTCAGCCTCCAGCAACCTGAATCCACTGGGGATTGAGGTGCCTCTTGTCTGGAAAAAATGGGATGAACACAGGGGTAATACCATCAACATCAGGCGGGATTAAACGGGATTTAAACAGCTGTAGAGTCAACCATATCAAAGGTGGCATTCTAAGTGGTGTACCATCTCGGGATATCCCTGGGGTAAAACCAATCAAAATGGCGATTTAACCAGTAAGCATGAGATGGTTATGGATATAGATGGAATAATATGGCTTATATAATCAACTTGGTAACCCCATGCCACAAACCTACTATTTAGAGATAGTCTTTACTACCCATTTATGGTAAGATTGGGGATGGTTTACTATTGGGTTTACCAGATTTCCCCCGATCAAAATACCAAATCAGCAAGGTTCATGACGCTATCCATGAAATATGGGCTTAAAACCCCTTGCAATCTGACCTAGCAATGGAAGGTTTTTCTTTTTCGTGGACTGCAGGGAAAATCACATGCATATAACATGCATATGGGTATGGATCAAAATTTACAACCCAGGGGGCCACAAATGTTACCCTCTGGTAAACTAACATAGCTATGGAAAATCACCATTTTCAATGGGAAAATCCACTATAAATCACCATTTTCAATAGCTATGTTAAATTACCAGAGGGTAGTCAATTTTAATGTCATCGCGATCTGATTATTGGGGTACCCAAATTTTGACCACCCAATTTTTGACCTGTAAAGGCCAGATTTGTTGACCGGGCATCTCGGGATAGATCGATGATCACAGAATTCTGGCCTTTCTACATCCAGCCCTTGGTGATTGGTTGATCTCTTTCCGCAAGTTTAACATCTATAGTGGGATATGATGCAGTTCCCAAAAACTTAGCAAACAGAAAAACATGAATGTGCGCCTACAACCCACCCAGATAGTTCCTAGTGGTATCTCCGAAGTACATCCCAAAATCAATGGTTATATAGTTGGAACTAATGTAGTAAACGCAAGTAAATCATCCCCAATAAGTGCTATAATTATTACTAGCCATCATTACTAGCCAACTTTATATCCTTTCTTTCAATTATTTCACCTCCATGAGCCTCGAATTTTTCCACCCGGGCTGCCGCACATCCACCAAAGCTTGGTACAGGAATCCCAAGGCTCAGGCGGAGCGGCCATGACTGAGGAATGCTGGGCCTAAAGTGGAACTGAGCTCTGGGTCTTCATCTGGTAGGTCTCTTAAGGAGAACTTCAGTTACTGTGTTTAACATAGGAATAAAGCTGGCTGGAACCTGGTGCAAACACGAGGTTAACATGTCTGGAAATCCTGTTGATGGTTTGAAGCATGAAGCATTGCATGTACAAATCAATCAACAGTGTTGTGAATCTGGATGTTCCTCTGTCTCACATGGTGCATGCATTTTCCTGCCACAATCTATAAGGCTGAAAAACAGCTGTGGATCGAGAATGCCAGCTATCAGGTATTTATCTAACAGCAGGGATCTGAAACTCGAAAGTGACAGCTGTCCTGGTAGGTTGCCTCAATTTGAAGTAGCTGAATCAAGCTATTTTGCGTGTGCCTACAAAAAATACTTTGGTGGCCGAACGAAAAAAGATAACGACGGATCGCCCGCTTCTAAAAAAACAGTTTCTTACTGAATTTCATAGATGGATCTTGGATCTAATTACTACATATTATTGCATAGAAACCATTTCAATCCATGCCTACTAACCATGTGTGTTGCTTGTATCGTGCCACTTTCTGTTCTGGTCAGTTTCACATGCAGCATTTGTTCCAGCCCTCTGCCCTTTTCCTGCGGACCTTTTCCAAGAGTGCCGAATGCCAAGAATAACATTCTTCCCGAGGTTTGCAGGAAAATCCATGCGCTCATTGACAAAGAAACCCTGCGATATATTTACGTAATGTTTGAGATATTAATGGTTCATATCGTTTTGTATGAATATACAATTATGTATATATATATACACGTACATATATATATATACATGTGTTATTGTAAAGGTAAGTTTGGAAATAGTTCTCGAAACATGATCATCCCGATAGTGATTAGTAAAAACTTTAGTGTTTCATTATTGTTATTTTTTCATAAACAATACACGCAAATATGTAAGTTATATAGACGTAGCACATATGTAGTTGTTGATTCATTTAGAGTAATTGTTCCAATTTGAACCATATTTAGATAGCCTCTGGCACTTTAACATATGGAACATCTCCACTGGTCAAGGTGAATCATCTATAATTTTAAGGCCGGTTTCTATAGCTATCGTAGTCATTACCAGAAGGTATCACCAATCCCATGAACATACCCATTTTGCTTGCTCAAAATCATATCAATCACGATTAAATCACCATTAATTAACCATTGATTCACCATTAAATCACCACTCATTCATCATTATCCAGTCAGCAGTGTCTAGCCAGTGGCCATGACCATCCGGCCAGCTTCTCCGCTAGATTTCCCTTCTGATCGCCCCGCTGACCTCAAAGTTGAGATGACCTGACGCTCCAAATGCGGAAGGGGACGTTAAAGTTAGGATCCAGCACTGGGAACTGGGGTATGCCACTTGTATATTTGAATGTTTGTATATCTGTAAGAACATATGCACATATATGTGTAGATAATATATATATATATATATCATATATATATACTGTATATCATATGTTATATAGGTTTGCTCCGTGGTTTCTATTGGATATTTTGGAACCATCAAGGACAAACAAACAAACACAGGTACTTGAACGGGCGCCTTGATGTTGTGAATGTCCTGTTGTCCTAGCGTCTTTCCGGGGCCCTCAACTTGTTGTTCTGGCCGCCCTGTTTCTGTTGTTGTTTTTCCCTATTTATGATCTTGAAACTATAACTGGTTTGTGGCTTTAACCATCTTGAAAAATATTAGTCAATGGGAAGGATTATCCCATATATTATGGAAAATAAAAAAATGTTTGAAACCACCAACCAAATAAAGACACCTCTTGTAAATGAACAAAACCATATTAGGAGGTTTCCGAAGTCATAGGGGTACCCCAACATCATCCATTTCAATAGGGTTTTCCATAAAAATACCATCCATTGTTGGGTACCTTCATTTTAGGAAACCTCCATATCAACACAAAACATCCGGAAACCCGTTCGGAACAGGATCTGCGCGCCGCCTCACCACCGCTTCAGCCGTGGCCTTAATTAAGGCGGCAGCTGGGGACTTGAAGGGCTCCATGTTCTATGGCCATTTGAAGGGTACCCGGTACCCATGTTAATTGTTCAGACCCACATATGTATATATATATACATATTATACATATGTACAGTATGTATATCTATAATTGTCTACTATATTACATATGTATATACATATGTAAAGTATCAGTTGTTTGTTGCTACATAGCCCCTTTTATGTCCACATGTCTTCACCAAAAAACACCTTCAGTGGTGAAACCTTAACCCCCGGGATTTTTAAATGTTGAAACCACCAGACCACATGTCTATTGAAATCCCATCATGTAGCCATTATACATGAACCATTAGTTAATGTTAAGCATTAATCAATAGGAATATGGGATTTACATATATTAATGTACATATGATATGGGATTATACTAATTAGTCATGTTGACAAACCGGTACTCATGAGTTCAACATCTCTATTTTTGATGGCTGATGCTTGAGTTGCAACCAGCTATGATAATGCCACGGGAGCCACAGCCAGCGATAAATTTGAGTCATGGGGAATCAGCACTTCAGTCAGCTAGAAATTGACATTCCCCATAATGAAACCAATCAAACATGGTAAATGAATGGTTAATCATGGTAAACATTATGGTGTTAACTCAACCATTTATATTCGTTTCAGTAGCAATCATTGAAACATAATGAAACCGGTAAATCCCTTCATATACTAGCTATTACTAGCTATGCATACGTATCATGGTGTCTCTTTAATATGTAAAATACGTACTAATCTATGGCATCGCATCGTTTTATGCTGGCGGAATCTCATCTCATCTCTGCTGGAAACCCATCAGCAGAAAACATACTCCAAAAATTCCCATATTTGCGTAGTGAAACCCTATCTGGTTGGTGGTTTGAACCCCTCTAAAAAATATTAGTCAAATGGGATTATTATTCCCAATATATGGAAAATAAAAAATGTTCCAAACCACCAACCAGCTATTCTTGACGGTCAAATCAGTTGTGCCTCCCTGATTTAAAACCACCAGTTGCCACAGTTCCCACCGGTTTCCCACATCTGGATGCACCGCACGGGAGGTTTTGACAAATGTCCACCAGATTGTAGCGATCGCGGCACATCCAGCTTTGAGAAGTAGCCAGCGATCGCGGCACACCGCGCGCGTTCTGCAGCAGGGGGAGATAGCAGGTGGCTTCAAAACTCGTAACGTTATTCCAGTATACTGTTCGATAAATAGGGATTCCTCTTGGACTCTAATGATTCCAGTAATAAAAAGCTGGTTGATATAAATAGGGATTCCTCTAATGTTATTAAAAAAATAATCAGCCAGTAGGAAAAAAAGGGCATCCATATGCCAAAATAATAACTATATACAACATATATATATATGTATATATATATATGATTCCATCACAATCATCCTGAAATAGATGAAATATGGTGTGTTCAAAACTAAGTATTCCCAATTGTGTGGTGTTTTTTTTTGAAATGTCCATGTTCTATGTACTCCAGGACATCAAACTTCCCTTCAACCTTGCCCGCATTTGGGCAACTAAACCCCTATTGTTCGATGGTGAAATCCCATACTTGGAGACTAACATGTATTATTATTCTATTTTTAAAAAAATAAAATCATGTTTTGACAAGTCATGTTAAATCCCACAGGCCCACATTTCATCTGGCTGGTGGTATACCTACCCCTCTGAAAAATGTGAGTCAGTTGGGACTATTATTCCCAGTATGGAAAAATAAAAATCATGTTCCAAATCACCAACCAGTATATAGATCTATTAAGTCCCATTAAGATATATTAAGTCCCATTAACCCATATTACGTCCCTATTGTTGATGGTTTTAATGTTCCATTCACCACCAACCAGTCATGCTATGTGATGGTCAAATCCCATTTTGTGATCCAACCGCCCTCCAAAAATTGCTCCGCCTCCAGCACCACATTGTCTGCAGCTGCAGTGATGGGCTCGGTGACCAAACCTGCAACGGTCGCAACGGACTTGGCGTATGCGAACCCAAGGGATGTGAAAAAATCACCTTATGATTGAAGCAAAATGAAGCAACCATCAATGCGGATGTGACTGATGTAACTATCAGCAAAACCATCCAAAATATGAGGTTTTGTGATGTTTTGGGTTCAACGTGGGTCTTTGCTCGCTAAAAATAGACATATCAGCAGAGACATGTTGGGTTTAAGCACTGTACGCATGGAGAATACGTAGATTTAACCGTTTCACCGACAAACATGTGGAGTTCACCGACAACACAATTTGGATACCATAAAGGGTTCCCGCAAAACAAAAAATGAGTTTGGGGTGCCCTATTTCTGGACAAAACCCGGTCATCCTTTTTAATCCTTCCTATAGGTGTATGTAATGGCGTCATTTCAAGGTCTGTCCGATGTCTTCATACTGCATTCGGTTGGCCACACCAGCATTCGTTTCAGAGCTAGCCCATGCTAGCCCCATAGCCAGTGGTGTCTGAAAATGGAACCCATCTATACTCTGGTATAAACATGTATAAACCTAAGAATGGAACTACAATCATCTGCAACTGTTTTTTTTTCCACCTCTGGTAGTCAAACGCGCCTGGCGAAGAAATTCCAGTCCCTGGACAAATCCTTACTTGTAGATGACTTTCCTATAGTTTCCCTTTCAACACGGAGATTTCATGGGATTTTGACTACGAACAGATTACAATAGACTACAGCACAGTACTTCCCAAAATTTCCCAAACTCAGAAACAGAACAATGAACTGTGGTGACTTCCCACCTTGGAAATGTCATCATGGTCAGACCGCTATCATGTTGGAATTTACCCAAATTGAATTAATTACATTCAAGGCATTCAAGGTTGAATTTCCATGAATTTCCCATGTTTCCCTTTAAAATCCTCAACTTGCAGACTTTTTCGGATTTTGTTCTGCACATCCTCGTCTCGTTGAAATCAGGATGTTCCATCGTCAAATGAGCCACCCTA